GATGACCTCGCCGAAGCGCTCGAGAGAGGTGGCGATAGAGCAGTTGAGATTCTTTTGTGAAAAGGACTTGGTTGCTGCAGCGAATACGGCGATTTCGAGAGCAGGTTTACGCGGCCCATCTGCTGTCCCTGATGCCCTCGCAAGGCGTTGCGTCTCGGTCTCGAATGCGGTCGGGTATCGGCTGAGGATCGCGTTGGCGCTCTCCAGCCCTTTGAGGTTCGGCGCTAGGAAGGAGAAGGTGAGCGGGCTCCGAGCTGGGACGTCGTGTTTGAGAATGTGCTCGAGGATTTCACCCGATTTGTTCATCTAGGCCGTAGCGTTGAGCTTCAGGGGGTGACAAGCGGGGAGGGTGCTGCGGGGTCGGCTCACCTGTGGAACCCATTTCGGCGACACGAAGGCGCCCGCCTCGATGGACGACAGTCCCGTTTTCGCTAGCCTCTCAATCAAATCGATCTTTGTCGCTAGTGGGATCGATTTCTTCTCGTTTTGAAGACCATCGCGGGCGCCGACTTCGACAAGCTTGACGTGGTTGTCGAAGCGTGGCTGGGAAGCACCGTCTGGGCTTGTGCTAGCTGTCGCGTACCGGCGAAGGCCGGCAACACGGTGAGCGCTACAGCGGAGGAGCTGGCGGGAGAAGAGCGGGAGCTTCGCCATCGTGTATGGTGTTGTTCAGCCCATGGAATTCTGATGATGGTGCTGGACTAGGTGGTCTTCTGGATGTTGGAGAGCTTGGCCAGGAGTGACGTTGTCGCATAGCGTCGGGATTGAGAACCCCTGTTGCATCACGTGCTCGGCTTGAAACAAAACACCGAGACCAATGGAACAAATTAGGTGGTGACAGATTTTGTTGTTGGAAGTTGCACTTCTTGACACCATATCTCGCCCCGTTATATGCGTGGGAACAGACTAGAGAGTTTGGCATTCCCCGGTGGCTACCTTTGACGAGCAGAAACCGTTGCCAACTGTGAAATGCACCTGCCTCGCCAATCGCCGACAGCTCCCGACGTCCGATGTTGTGTCCGCTGACCATCGATCTTTGCGGATACCTACCATACGCTCACTCCATCTGACGTCCATCTACACAGGCTGTTATATAGTGCGGATTCAGCTCTGCTGCTCCGAGGCCAACACGAGTCAAGCCACCCGCCCAAAGACCCAGGCATCGGTGGAGCTCAAATTGATCAAAATTTGCGCCGCCATCAAGAGCACCCTTTACCCACAACCCACAACAACCAGTTCACAGGGCGACTAGTATAGTGGTCAGTACAGTTCGTTGTGGTTTCCAACCTCATTCCGAACAAACCCAGGTTCGATTCCTGGGTCGCCCATTTTTGCCTAGTTTGATCTAGGCACAATCAACTGTTGAGGTGGCTGGCTATGTAGTCCCCTTATCTGGTCGGAAGGATCGCACCAATCGGCTATCGCAGCTGGTTACCTGCGATTTGGATGGGAGCGCGACAGCCAAGGAGCATGAACCGTTCTGTCTCCTTGAAACCTGCTGGACTCGAGCCGGTGCATCATGAACGGCGTGGACGCGAATCGAAAGCTGCGCAGCACGTTCTGAGAGCGACGCTACCTATTCGCGGGAAACTGTTTCAATCCTCCCACATCCAGGTCTGAAGCTCAACAGCCTGAGGTACATAGCTCAGGGATCGGACGGACGGGACAGGCACAGCAGCTTCCCCACCATCGAACCCCGCATGTTTGGGCAGCACCTGAAGAGCCCAACGAACAAGAAACGCGTGTCGCGTGCCTCTCGTACGGAATTGCAAACTTCAGCTGGCTGTTTCTCATCGAGAGTGATGAAGTCAATACGTTCACCTAACACGTCGAGCCCAGCAATCGGACAGGACGCGGCATCGAGAGCTGACAAACCAGACAAAACGCAAAGCACGCCTCGTTGGGGACCCCTATGAACCCCACTTTCGACCTCAATTCAGACCCTGGAAACTCACCAGCTCCAGGGAGGCGATGCAGCCATCTTCGACATCTAACCCCCTTGCTTACACGGCCCTGGCCGGGGGACCGCTTCGAATGAATCTCGGTACTTGGACATCGGAAGCAACGGAATGGCGTCAGCGCCCGAATCCTTACGGGCGCTCTCCTGGTACAGGCTCCGCGCGACTTTTGTTGAGACCTCGCTAACCCAAGGCAGACTTTGGTTGACCATGTGCGGTATCAGCGGGGAGCTCAACGTACACCATGAACACCACCTGGGCGAGCCTCGTGTTTTGGCGGTTCAACCTTTTCGCGAGGGAGGGAGCCGACGAGGCTGTGTTGATCGCCCCAATCGCCAATCGAGACCCGACTGCTGCCCTCAAGCGCTCAGCAACAAGCTGTCTTCAGTGCGATCCCATCGGGAATTGACATCGCACGAGGCGGACTACAGCTTGACTCCCACGTCACAACAGTACGCGCCATCCGCATGCGCTGCCTCGGCCGCGGAGCGCAGACATGGCAGAGTGCCCGGAAGGTGTGCGGTGTCGCGGCAATGGGGTTGACTACTCTTCGTGGCGGTGAGCCATGGAAAGCTTTGTGTTGTCCTCTCTCAACCGAAACACGGCACCGAAGTGCCAACACGCACGTCAGATCGAGGTGTAGTGCCGGTGAGGGGCAACGCAGCACACAGCACACAAGTGGTGTGGAGTGGCGGTGTTGGAAACAGGGGGCCGAATTGGGCAGCAAAACAAACCACGCCTCTCTGCCGCTTTGGCTCGAGATTTCATCGCTGCGATAGAAAATCATCGCTGCGACGATTTTGCAATTTTGTCGCGGCGATTCTTTTCCCTATGCCAAGGGCTCCTGTTAATGATCATCCCCAGCTTCCGACTATGAGCCCTCTCCGCGCTCCTCTTCAACATCGCCTGGAGAGACTGCACCAACGCAACAACGCGCCCGCCCACCCCGCGGTGAAGCTTCAGCGCCTGAAGACTCAGAGCTCGCGTTGCTCTGTTCCATGTCGTCTCTCCTCGCAAACGATCCTTATAAAGTATGTCGCGAGCTCAGGACCATGCACAAGCGGGCATTCTAACATGCGCAGCCCAAAATTCCGCCATCGAGACGCAAAAAAACGCTAGGTTCGAAGCAGCCGGGAAGGGAGAAGTACCACATCCTTCGCCTTTGCGCCGACGACCCTGAGAACGACACGACAGCTGCAGAACTGATTGAACGAGCCAAGCGTCACTCCAGCGCTACTCACGATTCACACGTCAACACCGAGTCGCTGGTGGCGGAGTATTACATTGAGCGCACAGGGCAGAGGATCTCCAACGCTCTGCAAAGGCTGGAACTACGCGACGCCGAATCACCGGGCAGGTTAGGTGATAGAACACACCTTGACTGGGGCGTACCAGCGAAGCGGAGGAAGTACCAGGTGGACACCCCGTCGCAAACGATCAATGACCAAGCATCTCTCTGCTGGGCTCAACAGCCGACCTTCCGGGAAGAACAACGACGCCACGAAGGGTTCTAGAAATGCCAATGATGGCTCTCCTGACAAACAATTGGCGTGCCCCGTCCGTGCCGGGCGGCCGCATCACTACGCCAATGTCACAAGGCATTGCAAAGCGAGTCAAGTCTTCAGGGATGTGTCAAAGTTGATGTGAGCAAGACAACACATAGACTTTGGTCCGGAGCCCCCGCTAACGGTCTCGGTAGGGAACATATCGAGCGCGTTCACTCTCCTTTTCGCCGCTGCGGGCGATGCTGGAAGGACTTCCCAACTGCGACGCGCAGCTCTCTGGAGAGAGATATGCAGGCGCATGGCGAGGACTGTTCGGGGAAAATACCCGACGAAAAGGAACAAGAGACCAGGCACACAGTCATACCGGAGGCCCAGTACAACCAGGTCCGCAACTGGTCAAAGGAGTCCAAAAAGCACTCCAAAGGCGACAAGGGCGGGGCCATCCTCCGCCATTACGGGGTTATCTGCGACATCATCAACTCTAAGCAGACACCCATCCTAGATACCCGTAAGCCACCGCAGCAGTTCGTCTGGTTTTCTTGGATCCTTGCTAACTCTGTTGACTAGAACAAGCACAGCCCATGTCCATTTGGGAGGGCTCTGCCGCCACAACAAGTGGCCAGCCACGATCGCAAAGGCAGAGAGCAAGCAGCGCGGGGCCCGCTGGCAACTATCCGACATGGCAAACCCCATTGCTCACTATCGATCCACCACCCAGCGGTGACGCTGTGGGCACCGGCTATGCCCAGTACTATGTGCACTGGGCAAGCCAAACCACCCGCAACCCGAGCGCATTTCTCAAGGCTGCCACCACTAGCCCCTATTCCCTTGATGGTCCCCATTTACAACCTGAATACCGCAACTATGCCATTGACCAGTCACCCTTTTCCGCGTCTAGTTCTGGGCCACCGTCAATGGCCCATTCGGACGGCTCCGCCAGCACTGGCTTCATCCCACCGCCAAGCATCCCTCTGCACTTTGTCCAACGTTTTGACATGGAAAATTCTGGGGATGGAACCAAGTTTATCAGCTGTATAGGCGACCATGGGTATGGAGATTCTTGGCCATACAGAGACAATGACGGTGGGTGCGAACCTGACATTCACTTGCATCAGTTCGCCGAGCCGTCTCTCAGCTATGGCCCTCCGCTTCCGTAGATATCATGGCACAGATGGTAGCCAACCAACAAGCTGTCTTATTGAGCCTGTCTCTGAACGCTCAAGACCAGGTGGGCTTTGGAAGCGGTCGTTTTGGCACTGATGATGGATCCTGGCGGCCCTGAACAATACAACATGGCCATGCGGATAATGTTCAATGTGTTATTTAGCAATATGTCGCATTCAATGATACTCCGTTATCAGATGTATATATCCTCGATATCTTTAGTGATCATCCAGCGCCGGCGCCGATTGACCATGGTGCTCGGCCCTGGCCGAACCCCTGAGCGGAAAGCGTTGCCGCAAATGTGGGGTATGCGAGGCTCCCGCTGTCTAGGCCAAAATTAGTGGCAGAGCCTCCAACCAACAACCAATTAAACGGTTGTGTAGTGTAGCGGTTATCACTCCGGATTCTGATGTTTCAAAATTCCGGCAACCCCGGTTCGATTCCGGGCACGACCTAGTTTTTTGCATTTTCAACCTTCGCCACAGCATGTGGCACCTGCCAAACCACCCTCGCCAGTGAGCTCGACGCAGTCCTTTTGCTACTCGCCATGGCTGCAGCGCAGCATTCTAGGCTGCTGTGGCTTACCTCTTACGTCGGAAATATGCCCTTTTCTAAACTAGCACCTGGGTGCAAATGTGCTGCGGTAAGTATGTATTTTATACTCATGTGTATTTACATGCTGTGTGTTCTGTGTGAAGATAAATTTAAATAGGGTGTTTTAAATTGTATGTTAGCAAGCTTAGACCCTTCGTTACGGAGATACCCCCCCCCCCCCATCCGTTACGGGAAAGTCTCCATAGTCTCTCCTTCTCCGTGAACACGATAGGCCAGCAAACAAAGGGAGATGGATCAATGGCTCGAGACGCGCATTAAGTGCACCCACGCTATAGCAGGCGTCAGCTTCAACCTAGTACTGGGTGTAAGTGGCTACATTGACCGGCAGGCTCTAATTTGCGGACATTACTTAGGCATGCGCGCCCAGTGTCAATGGCTGGTGAAGCACGTGGACGCAGCGCGCGATGCGGCGGAAATGGATGGAAGAACCTTCCACGTCTTAGTAGGTGAAACAGCCACCAGTCTTGCCCACCCACCCCACCGGTCCCCGATTAAGTCGAACGTGGCTTTCCAGCTTCTATCGCATGCCATTAAAAATATCATCGGGCAGGGATTTGCTGCCGTGGTTGAAGACAAGCTTTTGAAGCCTCTCAGGCTGACTCGAACCGCTTTTGGTGGCAACTGTACATCCTATGGTAACTCATCTGCCGTGATCGCGCTGCTCCTACCTGAGCCTGGCCTATTTACTTGCTTCATTAGTCAGCAAGGAAACGGATATGTTAGGATCTACTACCAGGGGAGATGCGGGTGCGGAACTCGGAGCGAAATGTGGATTGTTAAAAACAAAGCTGGACTAACAAACACGCGTGTCTCGACACACTCAGATTCACGACGGTGCTCAAGCACAATTCAAGACCTTGATCCTAAGCGTCACTACAAGATCACATATCTACACTGTTTCCATAACGATAAAATGGAATGCCTCCCAGCCAGGACACTCTTCCCCCCAATCCAGGTTGATGAACGGCATGTCAGCTTCTGTCGCCTCCGACTTGGATGGAAATAGGGACAACACCGAGCACCCTCTCAAGGAGGTCCCTAACATCGATGTCGAGTATCTGAATCTCGCTGGCGTAGCGGGTGAGCTCACGGGATCGGCCGGCCGGCGTCTTGACGGCGCCGAGGAGGAAGAGAATGGACTTGAACAGGGGGCTCAGAATGAGCAGGAGCAGCTTGAGAATGAGCGCGAGCTCGCCTTCAATGAGCTTGAGGACATCTGTGGATCTCCATCAATGGCCGTATCGTAGAGAGGAAGAAGAGGAAAACTCACCGGGCGAAACACCATCAACCAATTCGGAAACACAAGCCAAGACATCAGCAAGGATGAGCTTGATCTCGGTGAGCACCTCCAACACGGCCTTGGCATCTAGCTTGGTGACTTTTCCACGCTTGGAAACAAACGCAAGCAGAATGGGAACCACGTTGCTCAGGCTCATTTGCAGATGGTCTTTGAGGGCCTGGAGAGCCCTGAGCAAATCCTCCGCATCAATGGTGGTCGGCTCGGCAAGATCGGGGAAAGCCTCTGTTTACCCTTGTGAGCGAATCTCTTTCTCCAATCATATCCGCAGTAACAGCGTACTGATAACCTCAACATCCCCCTCCAGAGGCTCCTTCACCTCGGCAACAACCACAGCGGCCCTCGTGCATGCCTCCACAACAGCCGGGTCCCCATACTCAGCGGCGTCACGCTCAACTTCGAGGTTGATATTATTTCCAGAAATCGGCCCGTCGCCAGCTCCCTGCCGCGTAGAGTGCTTGTGCTCCTCATCTTCGTGGGCATCCTTGAGGTGCGTTGTCCGCCCCGAACTCGCGCTGAGGATGATCTCCTCAGACTCGTAGGAGCGTTCCTCGTGCGCAGGGAGCAAAACAGAGTGCGAACGTGATGAGGGACCGGCAGCGGAGTCGGAGTGCGCTAGGAGGGATGGCAAGGGGGGTTGACCAGTGTGGGGAGCTGCGGTGGCGCCTGTGGCGGTGGCGGTGGCGGCGGCGAGGATGAGGCAGAACTTCATGGTCGGTTATTGATGAAGATGCAGATAGGCCAAAGGACGTGTGAGTCTTGTCGACAAATAAACGGTTGTAGTGGGCAAAAGAGCGACGGCGGTGAGCATGGCAAAATTCGAGTCGGACGGCGAAAGGGAAAACATCTTGACACAGGAGACTGGTATAATTAAGCATGGCCGAAGCGGCCTGGCGGTGAGGTAGGAGACGGCATATGGCGCCGTGATATCTGATGATTCTGAAAGGCGATTGGACGCCCAGCGCCTCAAGTGAGGGATGTGGCACTTCTCGAGCTGAACCTCAATAGGGAACGCCAAGATGTTGGCCGCATCAATAAAGATGCTTCTGGCACTCCATGGCGGTGGCGTCCAGCGCCCTCTTTCCTTTTTTTAAGACAGCCTAGCTTTCTCGGGTAGTTGAGGCTGCGCCAGCTGATTACATCCAGTTTTCGATTTTTACCAGTCACATCCTCGCCTTTCCGTGCAGCTATGCTCTTCGCGTCCCGCATCTCCAAACCGCACGACGTCTTTCTACCGTAGATCGTTTCACAACAGTCGACACAACAATCTTTTGTTTTTGGCAAGGGATCGAAATGGCGGTGGCTTTCCTTCCAGGCTTCAAGAAAGATGCGAGGTGTTGGGGGATCCGCCTGGGTGGGTTTGGGTGACGGAAGGTGTGACCTTCTCCATCCTCTCGAGGCCTGCGGTTCAGTAAATTACCGCTAAAAAAGCCCCCTTTTCACACGCCAGAAAGGCGCACCTCTCTTCTCTTTCGGCTCACGGTGAGCGAAAAACTCGGCGATATAACCATGCTGCTGCAGCCATAAATATTTTCCTAATCCGTTGAGGTGTGTGCGGTTTCGTGGTGTTTTTCTGCCATTCTCATCTTTTGGAAAAAAGCGACAATATGGAGGTTTCCTCGCGAGATTTGCGGTTCGACCTTAACCCTCCAGTGCGGCTTGTGCAGCTTGTGCAGATGGCTTGCAAGACTAATGCGGTACATTTCATGAGGTTCGGCCTTCCCAAGTCCCCAAACTCTGAACCGAAAATTTCGCGAGGCCTGAGAAGATCAGACCTGGAGGGGTCAGGAGATTGTTTATCGCAGTATCACATGGCGACGACTTCGCCGACTCGTTCGACACACGACGGTTCTTCGCCAAAACTTTCCCGACGTTGTTTCCGCTGGGGAGTAGAGGCCCGAAACAAGCAGAGAAGAACATTGAAGACGGGGCAGGAGGTGACATGTTGAGTGCGTGCGGACGCGGAGGGCCGTAGCGCGGAGTCTCGTCGCGACATGCTACGAAATATGAGGTTAGCAAGATGGGCTAGACCCGGTGATGCAGCGACACGGTGGCCACTACCCAACCACGCCTTTGCCTTTCTCGTCAAGACATGGCGTTTTATCAATACTCCTAAAACTGCCAAAACCACAGCATCTTTCAGGATCCTTACCAGTATTGGCAGATCCGCTTCGGGTTAGACAATGGCCAGCCGTGGCGCCACCCCCTGATATCACACAGATGGGGCGTCTTTTTTGGCGGTCCAATCTCCCAGACTCCCAAGAGCCACAGCGGAGGAGGTTCTGGGAGAAGGGATGTAAAGGCAGTGACTTTGTCGAAGCGGCCGACCGCGGTGTCTTCTCTCTGTCTTCACCCCTCTCTTCCGAATCGGTCGTTACATTCTCTTCCCAGTCGTTCGCTATACGCACAGGTTGTGCCACCATGTTAGAGCCAAGATCCGGGAGGCTCTACGCCAGTGCCGTTGCCCGATGGCAACGGTCCCGCCACCTTCGAACGGTCACTTGGCTCTTGTTTTTCTTCCTTGTCATCTCCTTCCTCAACCAGTGCCGTCTCCGGCTGGCAGTCTCAGACGCATTTCATTCTCCGGGCTGGAAAAATGTCGGCACCAGCGCCGGGCCTGTCCAAGACCATGACGCCTTTGATATCACGAATCAGGCCGCATCCATGGAAGCCGCCGGCAACAGCACCCTGGGTTTCAACAAGATCGTCTTTATCAACGTGAAGAAACGATACGATCGCGAGGACGCCATGGCCATTCAGGCGTACCTCGCAGGCTTGGACATCGAGGACTACCCAGCCGTCACGCCCGACATGATCATCTCGGCCGGCATGCCACCGAGCCACAGGATCAACGCCTTCAAGTCAGCGGGCATCCGCGGATGCTATCGCGCACACGCAAACGTATAAAACTCTCTTTCCCTTTTTCCCTCCCTCATTTTTTAACCAAGTAAACCACCAAACTAATATATACTAGGTCTGGTCCGAAATGGTCCGCAAAAGGAGCCCTCCGGTGCTTATCATGGAGTCCGACGCAGCCTGGGACATCAACCTCCGGCCAATCATGAGCGACATCAACAAGCAGTTTGTTAAATTCCTGCACAAGATCAACTCAACCTCCTTACCCGATCCGAGCTACGCGGGGCGATTCCACTCATCATCATCATCATCATCATCATCAGAAAACACCAAGCCAAGCAAACCCGTCTACGACCGCTCCGACCCCTGGCTCTCCTCCCACTGGGACCTCTTCTCCTTTGGTCAATGCCGCGAAGGCCACCAAGATCACGACATCAAGCTGGAATGGCCAGCAGTGCACCCACCAGCAGGAAAATTTAGCTACTACGGCACACCACTGAACAAGACGCGGGTGCTCCGCAAATCCGGCGGGATCATCTGCCTAACCGCTTACGCAGTGTCCCACCAAGGGGCGGCCAAGCTGCTGCTGCGGCACGCACTGGACCTAGACAACCCGGTGGACGTGCTGATGCAGCGGATGGTCATGTCACGGGACGTCGTGGCGTACAGTGTAAACCCGCCGGTGGT